GAGGAGAAGGCTCCGGGCAGACCTCATAGCGGCCTCCCAGCACCTGAAGGGGCTACAGGAAATCTGGGGAGGGGCTTCTCACAAGGACTTGTGGTGATAGGATGAGGGGGAACGGTTTTGTGCTGAAAGAGGGTAGATTTAGATTAAATATTAGGAAGAAAATATTTCCTGTGGAAGTACTGGGCACAGGTTGCCCAGGGAAGCTGTGGCTGCCCCCTCCCTGGGATTGTCCAGGGTCAGGTTGGATGGGGCTCTGAGCAGCCTGGTCTAGGGGGAGGTGTCCCTGCCCATGCAGGGGAGGTTGGAACAGGATGATCTTTAAGGTCCCATCCAACCCAAATAATTCTGTGAACCAATCACAGATTGCTAGATTTGCTTGAATAGAATCATAGAATTGGTTAAGGTATATAAAGAAGTTACCAAAGAAAGGGTGTGTGTGTGGGACAAACCTTGAGCAAATAATTTGATTTGGGCCTATAACTGACTGTAAATTCAAAATGTAACACTTAGTGTGGGATCTGACACCTGTTACACCTTAATTTTATAAGGAATGTTTACCTGGAAAATACTTTGTGATTAAAATGCCCTGTTTCCAGGACAGGGGCACCAGGATGGTGTGCTGCAGTATAGTCACTGTATAATGTCTGCTCAAGGACTTTCCCCAATGGGAAGGAAGTGATGTCTAGAAACTTCAGGCCTGGCTCACCACCAGCAGTCAGAGGTTTCTGCAAATGTGTCTGTTGTGCAACTACAGCTGCTGGTGGTCACAAGGCCTCTTTCAGGTACTGGAAGGCTGCTACAAGGTCTCCTTGGAGCCTTCTCTTCTCCAGGCAGGAGAGGTGCTCCAGCCCTCTGTTCTTCTTCCTGGCCCACAAAGCTGGCTGGCTTTGGGAGCAGTAGAGTTGTCAGGGGTTGCACAGCCCCTGCAGCATCTCCCGATCTCCACAGGGTCAGCTCCCTGTTACTCATCCAGCAAAGCTCACACAGCTAGGGCAGGTCCAGAAATTGTCACTCGCAATGACATGTAGGCATGCAAGAATCAACTTTTACGGCCAAAGTTCATCTAATTAGACCTTAACAATCTGCAATGACGCAAGAAATTACGATCTCCCAAGACAATCTATTTCAACGTTCATTACTGCAGAAAGTCCCCAGCTAAAGGGCAGGTTTGGAAGAGGAAGGGACCCAGGCCATAACAAGCTTTGAAATTAATTATATTAAGAAATGTTCCGTAAAACAACATGTAAACAAAATAATTTTCCACATATTCCTATCACCTAGTAAAAAGTTTAAAATATAGATAGAGCAGTAACTTCCCTTCATACTACTAAAAATACTTCCAAAGCTGTATAGCCATTACTTAGTATGTAATTCAGATTAGTTGCTGTAGGCAAGATTGGCAGAAATTTCTATCTTCATTCTTAGTCCCTCACCATAAGTGACTTAACAAGAATTCAAACCTGCCTCTGCCTTTCGATATAGGCCCGAGTGTCCTATTTTTAATAGGAAATGCAAGAAACACAAAGAGGGATATCACTAATGTGTTGCATGAAAATGACCCTAAAACAGAAAGTCAGAAGTATTCTTACGACATGCTAGTCTTTGTAGACACCTGTAAACTTTTCCAGCTTTTCCCATGCTTTTTCAAAGCTTTACAGGCTGAATTTGTGGTGCAGAGTAATGTGTACTTTTATCTGCAAACTACACGTTTGACGTGCTTGCAGATTTTTCAGAGCTTTTTAACACATGCTCTGCAAAGAGGAAATGCCCTGTCACGTACCCTGCCATCTCCACAGCACCCGTTACGATGGCACGTCAGTGACCCGGGCGGGCCAGACCTTTCAGCACTGGAAATCTGATGTCTGTTTTGGGCCACCTCCTTACAAAGCAGACAGGATTGTGTTTGATGGACTGAAATGCTTGCATTGACTTGGTGTGGGTGTAGATGGTTCAGCTGTTGCCCTCTGCTGACTTTTGAGGCTAAACATGGCAGGTTAGATAGGCTCGTTTTTGGGTTGGATTTGACCTCTGGTCTCCAGTTTGTGCCCCCCCGCCCCGCACTCCCAAGTTTAGGCCATGCTCAGTTCCTTATTCACACTGCTTTGCTCTGTCCTTTAAAAGCAGGGTGAACGTGTGGAGAGTGAGCTGTACTTTGCACTACCTGAGCAAATCAAGGTGAGACCTGCTGAGACAGGGCCTTGCTAATACCAGATCTGGGAAGAACCAGGCTTACCTAGGCCATGATAAAACAATGCCCAGGGATCATGACTAGGTGGGGCATCTTTAATTGCTTCTCTGCCTCCCTGGGATATTTATAGTTCACACGTCAGCAATGAATCACTGAAAGGTTTGGCTTGGAAGAGGACTTTAAAGGCCATCTAGTCCAATGCCCTTGCAGTGAGTGAGCAGAGAGGTCTTAAACTCAGAGCTCAGAGACCCATCAAACCTGACCTTGAATGCTTCCAGGGACGAGGCTGCTACCACCTCTCTGGGTAACCTGTGCCACTGTTTCACCACAGTAAAAAATTTCTTCCTTGTATCTATCCTGAATCCACTCTCTTTCAGTTTAAAACCATTACCTCTTGTGCCATCGCTACGTGCCCCTATAAAGAAATCTGTCCACGTCTTTCTTACGAGCCCCTCTCAGGCCCTGGAAGACCACCTCCCACGAGACCAGGTTGCTCAAAGCCTCGTCCAACCTGGCCTTGAACACTTCTAGGGAAGGGGCAGCCACAGTTTATCTGGTGTGAGAAACATTTGTCGTGCCGATTAACAGGCCCACACAGATCCTTCAACGAAGCACAGTTTATTTACATTCTTGCAAGAATGGGTTACCTAAACAAGTAGGCACACCCATAGTAAGGTGAATAACGGTTTATATTCCCTATTCCCGACATAAATTTCCCTCCCCTGTTTCCCCACTGGCTGGGCACTCCAGGGTTCACAGCCCATCCGACGCCTCAAATTATCCTATAAGTTTCCCGCCCCTGTTTGCACATTCCATTCTAGCAGTTTACTTTTTACCTTTTAAGGTAAAATTTTGACCTTTCTTGACCCCTGGGCTGTCTTCCTGATTAACAAATCTAGTGGTGTCATCCTGCCCTGAGAGCAGGACAGAAGTGGCTTTGTTGGGTCTGATCTTGGGCCATAAATCCTTCTCCATGTTTAGATCCCCAGGTGGAACCCAATTCACTCCCTCAGTTTTTTGGGCCATAAACCACTCCTGGTGTCCTTAGAATATACAGATACCTCACTTATCTCAAACAAACTATATATTTCTAACATTAGGAATATAAACCAAACCTGACACTGTGTTTCTAACACTAGAACGCAAAAACAACGCTACATTTCATTTCTAAACACTGGGCAACCTGTGCCAGCGCCTCACCACCCTCACGGGAAAAGAGTTTCCTCCTCATGTCTCCACCTGAATCTCCCCTCTGTCCAGTCCTGATCCATTAGCCCGATCCCTGCCCAGCTCCTCCCGGAGGACGCCCGGCTCTTCCCTCCCCGGCGGGGCCCCTTTAAGGAGGCGGTGCCGGTGCCGCCGGCGCGGCCGCGGCGCGACGTGTCGTGTGGCTGCGCT